GTTAAAAGCAAGTGCAGATTTTGCTCAACTGACATGTATTGGTAAAGGTAGACCAACACCAAGTCTTGCATGGACATATAAGATACACGGACAAAAAGTACAACAAATTTTAGACCCTTCAGTTAAACAAGGTTCCAATGATCAGTATTTTATGCATTCTAATAGTCAATCATCTTTGAATATATTACCAGGGAACAAAATGATTGAACGAAAACTTGCATTAAATGTAAGTTTGAATTCAGTAAATATTGAAAACTTCACATGTACAATATGGAATAATGATGGGATACCATCAATATCTTCAGTATCTACTACATCATTGACTTCTTCCGAGGGTATTGTTAACCCATTTAAACCTACATCCCTGATTGTCCCAACATCTGATAATCATCAAACCAAATTTCAATATTATAGGCTTCATGAAGTTACTGTACGTGTGTCTGGACCTCTGAGACCATCTGAATTTATTAATCCTGTAATAATTGGTGAATCTTCAAGTTTGGACAGTCGTAAGCAACATGCTCAGAAAGATGACAATGCTGAAGTTTCAATGTCATCATTGACCACAACTTCACAGATACTCGATAAACAGATAACAAATTCATTACAAGAGGAAAGTAAAGAGACATATGGTTATTTATTCATAAAAAGATTTACATTATTAGAATTACTCGGTGCAGTTATAGGAACATTTATTGCCACTTTAGCATTATTATACTTGGCGACAAATTGTTTTTCCTGGTTTTGTCAAATCAATAATCATTTATCAGCAAAAAATCTACGTAAATCACATTTAGGATCGCATAGTAAGTGGTTTTCATGGATAAATAGTAGCAATAATAATAATGGTCATTTGTTGAGAGGTAGTAAGCATCAATCAGCTATGAATAATATTGGATCGCATCATTTGAATCAAAATGGGAATGGTTTAGATGCTAAACTGTTACAGCGTGAAGATGTAGAAACAACATGTACTACATTTGCTGATATGGTGTTAGCAACCACTACTCCAATCCCATCACAGTTTGGTTCAACAACGATATCCGCCCGTAGACCCAATATACCACAAGCGTTGTTACTCACAACTGTTCCAAACCCTCGTCTAGAGGCGAATTCCACACCGCCACCGAATCCAGCCTACTGGCCAATGCCTGAATATGCCTATTCAGGGGCAGGAAGCCATGAATATGATGTACCCAGACCGTTAGAAACATTTGTTGGTGAAAGGTGTATTCTAAAACCTGGACTGACAGAAAATAACAGTTTAAATCCTAGTGCAGCACAATCGTTTCTTAGCCTGGCTGCCCAATCCTTATTTCCGATGAATGGTACCCAGTTAAATCGTAACGATGTCGGAAATCAGCCAAATAATGGAATCTTTCAAACTCCCGCAAATATTACACCTTTAACTATGCAATGGACACAAACAATGAATCCAATAAATAAAACATTGACAATAAATCCTATCATTTCATGGCAACCGAATTTAGTCGGTTCACATAATTCATCTTTGCTGACTGATAGACAAACACAAAACAGTAGTTATACTAATCAACCATCAACACAATCAATATTGTATTCTGCAGATTATCCAACCTATTTACAAACACGTCCATATCCGCATCATAAAGAGCAGAGCCTACAACAACAACAACAACAACAGTTGATTGAACTTATGACGAATTCTACTAGAAATTACCAATCAGAAAACTTTATGAGCACGCCTATGGATATGCTTAATAGTCATGATTTGCCAAGAAAAACTACCACTTGTACACAAGAAAATAAGGCTCAAATAAATGGAACCAATAATTAGGACTAATATAGATCATATTGCTAAACCTCCGTCGATAAAAAACTGTTTATATATATATATTAACTTAATTCAAAGCATTTTGTTGTGAAAACAACTCTATTGTAAAGTAAGTAAAAACTCACCGTCTTCTTGAACAGTCATATTTATGTAAATGAACATAACTAACCATTAATCAATATTACAGAGAAATGATTTTTTGTTAGATTAATCCATTTGGATTCAATGAAACGACTGACAGACAGATAAAAAAAGATATCTTCCTTTCTACATTCATTAGAAATCTCCTCCTCTCATTGTAGACACGAAACTTTTGTTCTTGCCCCCATGCTCAAGTAATTTTTAACTATTCCAAAGTCTTTCCAAGTTAACTAACTAACAATATTCAAATAAAAATCAAACTCTTTTGTGTAATAAACATTTCTCATTCATCTTTTGTCTACTACTTTATTAATAGTAGTCTATATATATTCATAAATTGTGAAAGTCAAACATTGAATTTTTTGTTCTAGTTATCGATATATTTCGACAATCATAAATGATAATTATAAAAGCATAGTCTTTGCTTTGCGAAAATTATGAGACTGCTTTAGAAAAGATAGGAAGAGGATAGTAGATTTATTTGACTACTAAAGAGATTTCCATATTGTACTCAATATACAATATTGAATAATACTATTAATAATTATAAAAGTGAGTAACTAGCCGAAAAGACTTGATGTATCGTAAGTTGTTTGAGCAGTGGATTAAATACAGGTCATAGCTTTAGCGTAGATCACCCTTGAGATAGTCGAAAGATACGTGGTAGTTACGATGAGCGATTGACTCAATATGGAATCATTTCTAGACTACATACATGGGACAAGACTGAAGATAATCTACAGAAAATATTAAAGAAAAAAGGATTCAGTTACAAGGCATTCGATAATTACTACAATCATAATAAGACTGAAGGTAGTAGGTGATATTTCATTTTATAGCCACCAGATTTAAGGATCCTAAATCCACTGTGCTAAAGCAAAGTAGATGAAATCTTTCAAACTGATAACACGAGAGTATTCACAATATTCTATATGAATAACCCAGTTAGTGCCGGGGACGATGAAACACTAGGGTGTCTTATGTTTAGCCTACTGAGAATCTCTATTTAATCTGAACAGTCAAAGTGAGTAGTATTTGAATTCGAAACCTACATGATAGGTCATTTTGCATTTGATCACGAGTAATATTTTCCAAAGCATTGAGAACCAGGAATAAATAGTCGGACTTCTGAATAAACAGGCCATTTTTTAAGCTGATAAACTGTCTATAATCAACTAGCCAAACCAGTCAATTTATACCATTTTCGGACTTTCTTGTCAGTAACATAATTAACATTGGTGACAAAGTATTCAATTCATATGACGAAGCAATGAGTTTAGCTACACTGGATGAAATATAAAAATTAGTCGAAATGAGAGTACCCACAAGATCGTTCAGCTCCCATCTTCCACTCGGTATGGTGAAAATATTACCAACTTGTCGCTTACGCGTATATTGGGACAACAAATTGAGCGATGTTGAAATTGGATCGAGGGTAACAGGTTATTTTCATCGACTGAGGTAGTCAGGGCATGTATTACGTCTGACCAACCATCAACTATCTTGACGCATGATTCTGAATAATGTAGTAGGTTAGAAAGCTTGAGGCGGACTAACCGAAACGTATCACATGTTCATGGAGTTGATGACAGAATGAGGTCCGGGAGATTGTGGCCAACCGTTGAAAATTTTGGATATGGCCCAAAATTATTCGCAATGGAGCATGTGGTCCCTTAAGTCCTAAGTTCCAAAATTATATTACCCTTTATTCCATGTTGTCTATTTTAAGTCTTTTCTACTACTACTGATATTGTTACAACTTCAACTACTCTGTTATTTGTCCTGATAATTACATCTCATCGTGCTGAAGACCGCTATTTTTATATTTTATGTATCAAGAATCGACTTACACGGTGTAAATTATGTTTAAAGTAAGGGTTTTCCTTCAATCTGTATTCCCAACTTAGTCGGACTAGTTATCATAGAAAAACTTCCGGTGAATTGGCAATCCACATCACCTGTTGGCGTTTAGCAGTAATACTCAAGTAGGACTTCTGCAAACATTTCATTGTCTTATAGTATCATGTATTTTAGTCTGTAAAATGTCAAGTTTCATACCAATAAACAGCTTTTCTGCATAATAATTTTTACTAATCCACTTCCTATCATATCGTTGTTGAAAGCTTCAGTGCAATATGGGTTAGTCAAGGTTGTGAATAAATGTATACCATTGAGCATTTGAATTATTTCTATCGCGAATATATTAGACCTACTGAGAAACGGCACCAGGTTTTTAATCCCAGCAAATATCCACGAAATCAGACCACACATAATTTAAGGTGTTTACATTGACTGATTATTGAGTAGTGACCAGTTTCATTATTTGTCTAGTCCTTAGTACTTACAGAATCCTATCTATTAAGTTTCAATGTATCCATTAGTCTAAGTGACATATCACATACATTGTGTTGAAATGTTAGATGGTTGGAGATATCCAGTTCAACCTACATTTCGTGCTTATTGGGACTTATCATCAAAGCTTATCTAAAATCTTGAGGGAATTGATACTTTTTCTATGGGATTCGAACCCTTACCGAGAAGTTTCAAATTTAAACGGTAATTGTTAAAGATTGAATTAACATCACTTTCAAATACAGTTCATATTAAGTATAATGCAAAAACAATCAAATCAGCATTGAAATGACTTAAGTTTGAATATACAAGCATCGACAATAAGAAAAAGAACAACAACAGTAACTCTTCAATAATAAACTCTCTGAATATCTCTTAATGAATTAACATCACAGATAAAGTTGAATTAGTGAATGATAAGTTAACAATAAAATTCAAAAGAGATTATAAACATTAGTGTCATATAGTGAGAACAACACATTTTGGTTCGAACAACGTAAACAATACAAAACAAATAAATCAAGTCATGAGGAAACTATTGATTAAAATAACCACTTGGAAAAGAGACGTATAAATATGAGAACAAGACAGTATAATACAAAAACGAATATATATATATATATATATATATATATATATATATATATATATATATATATATATATATATATATATATATATATATATATATCCTATTTATTTAGGATAACAATTATAGGACACTAAATAAAATCAATATAACAATGAGTGTGATTAGCAAAGAGAAAATAGCACACCATTGACGACGATCAGTATTTAAGTGTAGTAAACGTGCTGTCCGTTTAGTTACTGAATCAAGCCTTGATTCTGTACTAACCATTTCATTATTGAAATCATCTAACAGAACAACTTGATCACCTAATTCATCACCGATACGCTGCGACATTCCTTTTAAATTCGATATGGTTGTACCTAATTGATCCAATCGATTGTCTTGTTCATATAATAATTGTTTCTGTTCTGTTAACGGATCATAATGTATAGAATAGATGTTTGATGATGGTGATGACTTTTTTATATGAGAATTTATTCGTTTACTAGATTGTGTTTTATTTGTTGTTTGATCACTGATTTAAAATAGAAGATGATAAGGGAGAGGGACAAAAGAAAACACAAGTATTTGTCAATGAAATTCAATGTGAAACTGATCTAATGTTAAATACACTAAACTGATAAAATTGTTAACATATGTTGAATAAAATTTAATAATAAACATTTTCACCAGGATATGACCATAGAACATAGAACTAATGAAATTTACAATAACTAGTGTCCTAATTCGATAGTTTGACAACGGGATATTATCTACTAATGTGAATTACAGTTAACAAACAACGATGAAATTGACTATAGAATTATTCTATAAACGCGTACGCTAATAAAACCATTCACTTGATATGGCTCGGTGCAAGGAAAGAGACTAATATATATGACGATTTACTTTGTATTGGTTATTCGCTAAATTTGAATAGTTATAACTTAAATTCCAAATTGATACAACCCATAGTCACACCATAAAATATGTATTTAAACTACTGAAATGTTTGTAAACGACCGCATGATTGAACGTCACTCGATTTTACATATTTTCATGGGCTTTAAGCTTATATTTCCTGCTTTGTAGCATCCGTTATTAAGGTGTGTTTTACTATTGGGGAAATTTAAAGTTTTTCTATATAGGCGTCGATCTTCGTTATCCAACAGGAAACTAAGGTGAAACGATTCAATAATAAATTTTATCAACTCCTTGAATGACATGAGATTACAATAAAAACTCTTAGGTTTTCTTTCATTAATGTTCATCGATAATGCGCATACCATAGAACCTTACCAGCCAGTAGAACCGTACCTTAATTGTTATCTCATATATATCCTGTCTGATGTATTTATGGTCATTTGGATGTCATTATAAAATGTCCCCAACCATTAAAACTTTTATTTCAAAACGACTTTGCTATAACTAAAACATTACTGAACTATGACAATACCTACAGAGTGCCAATAATAAGCAATAGTAATACTAAAGAAAAAATAATTTTCGAAGACCCTCAGCTCAGATAGTCTGTTCCAATTGTGGAAACGTATATCCAACCTTTCATACCCAAATTATTCTGAAACAGTCCCTAAAGTGAATAAGATTAGCATGTACTGTCTTGAATTTCTGTCTAAACAGTGTCCTAAAACATTATTAGCACAAATAAAACTACGCGGTTACACGAGTCTTTCAAAATTATCTTATGAACTATCACTATTTATATTTTGTTTGTATAATTATGAGATAATTGCATTTTTGTACTTCTATATTCTACTTCCTGCAAGTTTTCAGTGGACCTTACTAGCCATTGCCATACACCTTACTATTCCTTAATTATGGTGAATTAACCATTCACCTTTTTCCCCGCTTTCTTCCACTTTTGGTGTAGTTATATCTACACGGTAATTTTATATTCACGTTTATGTGTGATCAAGAAATTGATCTGTATTATTTGATGAGTTGGTTCACATGAGATATATTACTGAACTACTGCTTACTATGTTCTATTACCGGACTAAAAACTGGGCTAGAAGAGAGGCATACGTTATGGACCAGCACGAATTGGGATTACCTCAGCCTCAACTCAAGGTTAATCTTGATGACAGAAACGTATAACTGGACAAAGCTTAGGATGCTAGGTAATAGGTAAAATAGTATGCACGGGGTAGAGGAATACTACAAGATTCTGATTGACCAGTCTTCTATGGATATCGATCAACTTGCAGTTATAACAAATGCCAACAACATTTACAGATGAATGTTCTCAGAGTGGACCAGTGAAACAAGTATTCAACTTTCTGCTTCCGAATCTGGGTCGTAAATCTATTAATACTTGGGTAATATCTTTAACCAGAGTATATAGAATGTAGTTCAGTGTTTAATTTAAAGGTGTTTACTTATACAGTTAAAGCTATTAATATTAAAACGAACTCTTGACGTCACAGAATCAACGTAATGCAAGTTGTAGGACAGCAGTAACAACAGTTCAAACATACACAAAATAAACTTGTAAAGTATTCGCTTACTTCACTTTCAAATCTCCATTACATAACACCGTTGAGGGTGGTGATGATGATGGACGCGGTGCGATATGAACTGTGAAATCAATAGGCGAATCGTTTCTTTTGCTGCCATTATCTGATGAGTTTAAACAATTTTTCACATTCTTTACTACATTTTTTGCTTCTGTTAAAAATTGACGTCTTGCTGATATATCATTATCGGATAGACGAAATTTTATAGGATTATTTTCCACTGCTCCAATAGTTTCCTGGAAATAGATTCGAAAATTAAACATTTCAGATTCATTGAAAATGATACTTGGTAGTAAACTAAGGAGTCGTTTGTTTCTTGCAATACATGTTGATTAAATAATAACTAACACACAGTCATAAACAACGTATAACTGCCCCATGTATATCAGTTGAAATTCCTAGGCCATAACAACTGAGACTTAAAGTGCTAAACATATTTCTTTCATCACACGAGATCATTAAAGGATGCGGAATATTGTTAGCGAAATATAAACTGGACTAGAGCACGTTTCGTACAGGATTATGTTGGGGCACGCTGACTGACAATTTCTTATCCAATCAGCGCTAGTGGACACTTGGAGAAGACTCTAGAATCTTCTTATGTAAAAATTATAAATATACCAACGTTTCTCTTATTGTGATTCCCACTCCCATCTACCCTTGTCATATGGAATATAATTTCGTTCCTGCTCAACTGTGTCCTGATTTGGGGACTTTTCGAGTGAAGTAGTGTCTAAAAATACTAAGCAATAAGAGTAGCTGGGTCGTAATAAAAGAAATTATAACATATATCTTGCCTTGATAGGTAGGTCACTGGTGAAGAACAATACAATAGATTAAAACACGTATTTGGTAAATTTCTTCTTTTAGATGTCTAGAAAAGTGGCTAGAGCACTCAACTTGGTATGTAGGTTAGAACCCGACCCTATAGGCTTCGGTTCAGACAGCCAATAATTAACACTAACATTTAAAAAAAAGATATGGTTCAAAACCGACTGTATTAACATACAGCTGAAAGTAAAGTAGATTATTTTCATTATTAGATAATTCACTAATACTTGTTTGTGATGGAAAGCAACTCTAAACGTAAGACATGATGAAAAATAAGAAAGTAATTATTTGATAAAAAACAATTCACAAAAAACCAACATAACTGTAGATGCAAATATCTACTGATGTCAAATGACAGAGAGAAATCAGGAAATTAACTTGTCAAAGATTTTACGACACAACAGAACTTAAGAAAATGAATATATGAATAGACCAACAAGAAAGTTTCCACTTTAAATTCCTGTTACAAGTTTTCAATCAATTAACGGGAATTTTCGCAAACATCTACATACTTATCGATATCAATTAACACGCCATTGTCTTATAATTTTGTGATAATTTATGCCTTTACTAAAATTCAAACCCACATTTAGTCTCACACAAATCAACTTACTTGCTGAAGTTCCGAAATCACTACATCAATTTATAGAACAAAATCGTCCTGAACCTCATGGGGACTATAGACTTTAAGAAATATTTCACAGGAACGAGTCTAAATATACAACGTAGAGACAAATCTTAGATACAGTTTTACACTGATTATTAGCCTTTCTTACATAAATAAAATGCACGAACGAAACAACTTGCCAAGGTGAAAGTCTATATAATCCATAAAATTAGACTGACTATAACCACAAACCAAATAATTGATTAACAAGTAAAAAATGACACAGACTTAAACAAAGACATTTCAGACTTATGTATCAGTTCATTTTATCATACTTTACAAACAACGAATGAAGGCAACAAGAAGAAAACAAAGCACTGGATAAGTATATGAAATGGTGGAATAGTCAGTACTTATTTAACGCGTAGTGAACTTGATATAATAAAAGCAACAAGAACCTTTGCTCAAGCAGCAAGGTGAAAAGGATCTATCCCGATTTTTCCAACAGAGTTCGATTTAAACTAGCATTTGCCACATCACAAGGTAGATTGAACGAGACTTGCGGATAAGTTCTAATAATAAACGATATTTCTAAATTTTAGTTCCATACAATCATATTGGTTTGACAGTTTGTATCCCCGAATGCCTTGTTACGACAGAGGGTGGGGAGAGTCCACTCTCCTTCTCCAAATCCTCTCATATGGTCACGTATATACAGTCACTCCCACGGAAGTACTACTCACTGCCCTCTCGTGGCAGGGATGTTGTTTACGAAATTGAGAAGATGAAAAGTGAATGTCCGGGACTTTAACTGGATCGGTGGATATAGAGGGCAGTACCTCAGTTCTCATACAAATCAAATGGTGAAGTGTGGTGCATATATATTCAATACCAATATTTGTGTCTAAACAATAATACAGTATGTGGTGGTTAAACCTGTACTACATATTCTACCCACTTCAATCAACTTGTGTTTACGACTCCTATTTACAAAACATTTCTTAATATAAACACTATACATCTAATAATTCTACTAAATGGCCATAGCTCATAACGATACAGTAAGATACAGCACCCCTCCACGAAAAAATTAGCTCTTGGTTGTAAGTTGAATGCTACTGTCCCGTACCACAAGTAATGAGGGTTTATGAACGTTATTTGAGCACTCCATATAGTTGTCCACGTTTTTCTTATCTAAACAGAAACTGTGATATTCGAAACCAAAGATAATGGGACGTGTAAATAGTTCTGAAAGTTTGCGATGCATATGGTGAAAATCAGGATTAATTTAAGGACTACACTTGGAAAGTGACATCAATCCCCAGAGCATGATCAGTTTTAAGAGGCATATTAAATTTTCCTCCGTAGATTGTTAGACAAACGAAAGGTTTATCAAGGTGGAAATACAGACGATCTATCTTTAGAGATATGACGAGAAATAGTCAAAACCTTTGAGCTTTTAACTAACTGGTCAGTTCTGGAGTTTGGTTCACCCACTTTGTTTCGTTGGTACGGAATTATCACTAACCTCATACATAAATAACATGTCACATGGCGAAGTACATAAACCTGAACTTGAGAAGAGAACTACACCATCCATTATGTTTAGAAATCCGTGTAAAACTCCAACCGTATTGGGTGAGGATGATAACAAACGACATACTATTGATAACTGTGCTTCCGTCTCCTAAGAGAATCAGAAGAGATGATGTCCCAACTCATCTACCCATATGGATTTGAATGTTATTGAAGAAAGGCAACTTAGTGAATAAAACAATCAACTATCAGCTGATAAGTTCCAAGTCTGAATCACCAAGTCGACTACTCCGATTTAGTTGGGCTAGTAGTATCACTAACTCTCACACTTAAGTGTACCACAAAACTTAGTACATGCTGTACCAGACAAAACGAATGTGACTACTTTAAATAATCTATATTCGATAATTGTACTTTAAATAATCTATATTCGATAATTGAGTTAGATACTTTATTACCAAGTTATTAGGTTCTGAGCTTTTCAGACTATTTAATAAAGTCTACTTCCCTGACTAAGAGGAAGATATTATACAATCAAACTGATAGCGTCCTTTTAATACAGGTAGATGTTACTAAGAAATTTTAGATAACTTGATTGGAGATAAAGAAGGTCGATAAAACTAGCGATTGACGAAAATTCCACCCGTAAAGTGTACTCTATAGTTTCGCAGATAACTTATAAGACAGAGTGTCAGCTTAAATGTTGGCTACAGCTACGAGCTTACTACCTCCAATAGGATGGCTAACGCCCAAGATTGTATAACACTAAAACCCCATGGTAACTTGTGGTTTGAAACGATGGAGCACTGTAATTCAACTACACTAATCAATCCCCAGAACATTGATTAGAATATTTAGCAGTTATAAAGACAGAACACAAATTATTATGGTCCATGCTTAACATAATGACGTGCGAACACGATATACATGCAGAAGAGTTTCAAACGGTGGAAGCCTCGAGAACGAATCACACTTTTGGAACGTATTGCAAATTTTTCGTGCACTTTTCTGCAATATTCCCGTCATGGTGTTTACTTAACAATTCTTTCTGCGATCACACCCAACCTCCCAATTTTGGGGAAGTCGCCATGGTAAACTTTGGGGACTTATGTAGACAGCACACTACATGCGACTTTCCAAGGAAATGTCGTTCACTGCATGAAGTTTCTGTATGGAAAGCAACTGAATGTCGGTTGTTCTTATTATACTTAGGCCTTGTAGTTCTTCATGAGAGGTTACCACTATCAATGTACAGAAACTTCCAGGGCCTGTTCCTGTCAATATATTTATTATCGCACCCTAAGTTGCACACCATATTCGCGAACAGTGTTCGGGTTTATGCGAACAACTTCTTATTAGATTACAAAAACTGTTACGGTAGCGATCACTTAATCTATAGTGTGCATAGTTTAAAGCACATTGCAGAGGACGTCATAGAACATGGCAGTTTAGAGTCGTTCTCTGCCTTTCCTCTGAATCATACATGAGGAAAATTAGGCGTTCAGTACACCACGGATTTGCTGCGGCTAAACAAGTTGTACAGCGATATGCTGAAGAAGTTTACTTTCAAGTATACTGAATCAGGATATGGCTGACAATCTGAGCCTGAGGTAAGTTATGATTCATCCAAGGAAATCATCACTTGCAGAAACTCAAAGCTAACAACCATCGGACCTGACAATGTAGTTATTGCCAACGGCAAACCGGGGTTGATAACACAAATTACTGATGGAAGCAGGATTAGGTTTAGGGCATTCCATAACCCGTTGGATTTTTTTACTGACCCATTTTCCTCCAGTACTATAGGCATATTCAAGTATTCTACCGTAAGCCACGAATGTACGTGGATCACACTGACATACTTTACAAGTGCATTTGTATACCGACACAAAATTATGAGGTTATTATTCCCCTTTTGCATACATTCCAATAGTAAATGTGACATTATTTCTCAATGGCTGTCGCAAATATAGTACGTTATGCAGTAAGTGTCTGTTGGTTAGTGCTTTGGCCTTGTTCATCAGGAAGTTTTAATGAATTTTCATGAATGTAATAAATTTTCAATTTTTAACGCCTCGGCATTGATTTACAGCACCGATCAGGACAATACATATTGGTTAACGATAAGGAGAAGAAGCAAGTTCTTTGCATCCCTAAAAAGTGGCTGCTGAACAACGACCATTTTATTTATCGTGATGATGTGACTGCAACGAATATTATTGATAGTGTCGACTGTGATAGTCGCTTCACTTTGAAAAAATGCACGGTACTAGATTGTTGTGGTAAGTTGTAATCACTTTAAATTCATTGTTTTTAGATGACTACGATATAGCCGAGGAAATGAAAGTCTATTTAACCGCAGTACTCGGTTACAATAAGAAAATTACAATAGATGATGAAACGCTACCGTGTGAAGTGGAAAAGCCGAAAAGATAAATTGTTCAACTTACTAAATCACTTTTGTGTTAGGGCTGCTAAACGAAAACTTAACGATTATTTATGCACCTCTGAAGAACTAGAGGTTGCTGCGGTTGAAGTTGGATTTGCCCCGATCGACTTTCCAGTTGTCAACATTTTGACAGGAAGATTCTCACCTATAGCGAAGTATGTACCTATTTAATTAACGCTCATAAAGTAGTTAACCGAAAACAGAGGTTTTCTCACCACCGCTTCAATGTACATCAACGGAAGTTATTAAACCGTAATTTGGATTTCATGTAAACATAAGAAAAGGTTGTGCAATGATGACAATAAAATGCTGAAAATGATTCTGAAAGCAGTTACTGAAGTATTTAGTAAGATTGATAAACTGATCGCATTTAATGAACGCTCATGCATGGGTGTAATGAACAAGCGTAGCGACCAATTTAACAATCCAACTATTGCTTTCCCATTAAGAACACATAAAGAGTTGCGTTCTTTTGAAGTTGCTTTAGATGAGTTAAGGTTCCGTGATCAGTTCTTAAGTTGTAACAGGTGTTTGAACAAATTTGAGGTGGCCAGATTGTACGAGCTCATATGTGATGACCCTCGCAAATCAGTAAAAGCCTGTCTAGGTTACCTGTTGTCACCGGAACTGGCGAACATGTACACTTTACACGGAACGAAAAGTAGATTAGGTATTCGTAAGTACAAATTTTACCGGACGGTTCAAAGTCCACACTATAGTATTATTATATATGTAGGTGTTCTGTGTTCTCGTTTCCGAAGTACATCCTGCCCCGAAAAAGAAGTAGTACACGCCATGGATGTTGCAAACCAGACTTTCTTGCATGACGCAAGAGATAAAGTAAATAAGCGTGGATGACGATCCAAAGAAAAGGTGAGTTATAAGCACTTTACATGTTTGATATAATACATAATGCAGTTTTAATATTATTTGTGATCAATATTTGTAGTAAAACAACTTTTTTATTGTCAGTAGAAAAATTATTTCTTGTCCATCTTGCTTTCATCTGGCCTCGAAAGTTTTAACAGACGTAATTGTAAGTTTTTTGTTCGCATTGTTGACAACATTGTTATACCGTTGGTACGTCATCGACGTTTTACATATCTTGAAATTCGCTTATAAACTAAAGAATATTTTTTTATTTATGTAGGACATTGTCAATGATAGTTCAACGTCTACGTAACCTGCTTCTTCTGTTACAAAGCAATGAAAAAGCCTTGTATAAATCAATCATTTGTAACTTTATTAACCGTAATAAACATTTCTGTGTCACGAATCAGTTTTTTAATCACAGCGATAGATCAGTTAACCTTAAGTTTCTTTAGTACTGCGTAAGTGACTAAAAACAATGTAACATCGCAGTAAACACTGTACGTATGTATTGTCGCCTGGTTTTACCGTTATATCTGTAGAAATTTGTTGAGAAGTATTGCGTTAAAACGAGTTTACAAAAACTGTAATAAGATTATGGTGAAATTTCGGACAAAAGCGCAAAATTCATGGGAAATTTTGGGGGAAAACCCCAAAGTCAGGGGAAATTTTGCGTTTCCCCCTCTAAAATTGCGAAAATTTTTGGCGCTTTACTAACAAATATAAGCCCACTTCCCTAAAGTGAAATGAGATTCTGGAGAAATTTTGAGGTTTTGTGGCATTTCCCCAATGTTTACTATTGCGGCTTCTCCAAAATTTACCCGAAATTGGGAGATTTAGATATATGCACTGATCCTAGCGCAATCAGAAATAGGGCGCTCCCAAAAAATGACGGCTGTTAAACGCTAAACAAGAAAAAATACCTGAAGATCCATCAAATCCCATTCTATATTCTTGATTGTTTGACGGATTTTAGTCAATAATTTCTGATCACCAGGATTTGATCCGCCTCTCCAATCTTCGTAAAGAGTTTTGGCAAGCTGCAAATTTTTGAAAACTTCATCTTGCATACAAAAATACGGATCAGTATCATCCATAATAAAACAGAACACGTTGGGATAACCTGGACAAAAAACACCAAGCTTGAGTGAACAGGTAACAAGCCACTCAAATATCCGCTGATTTTATGTCAAGCATGAGATAGCTCAATTTTCAATCCTCAATGGGCAGAAATATCAAACAAATGTGCTTTCTTTGATTTTCTGCATTGTTCCAGAGGTTGTCCACATGTACACTCTTCCCGCGTTAACAATGTTCGTCAGAGTGTTCTTTCTATTGCATTACTTCTACGTCACGTGTTGACTATGGACGTGGCGGATGGTTATATCCATTTGTTACGCACCAGAGATGTTTTAAAGATGGTGAGCTATCCCGAATGTACTGGTACGTAACTTGGTATCCCTTCTATCGACTTGAGAGACCTTCAGAAGACCCTTGTCTAACCTGTGAGTTGTAGACGAAATAAACGATATACACATACGGTGAAAGGAATGTTTGTCTTAATTTAGATTCTGCCTAACTCTTTAATTTGATCTTTATTGTTGCAAGTACCTTAATTTTCATCACTGTGATAGATTTACTTGAACACCACAACTTACTTGTTGGCCTAAGTAAACGGAGCTTGATAGATAAAAACAACAAACTATCTGTTATCGTAGTTCGACCTCAACACATGTCTGAATCGCATCTACGACTAATACATGATGAGCGCCTCAAACCCTATAGGCCGCACTCATAACTGACACGAATATCCAACAACGCTACACACCACAGCATAACTACAGAAACACCTGTTTTCGAAGACATGCCGGTTTGCAAATGAAAAGCTACGATTGTCGAATAATGAAGTCAACCACAAAATGGTTCCAAGGGTAATCCAGCCCCTCAACAGTTCACAAACATCTTTACAGAACATGATCTCTTAAAAACAATCGCAACGATTGAGGCCTCACTAGCAGTTACGGATGGTTCAACGCGAAAACACTACATATTATCTGTTACCTCATATCAAGGTCTGTCCTCCATAGATACTAATAACGACATTGGTCTTTTGAGTATATTGGATTTCGTTAGCGCAGTCACCATAGCTTACCCCCGATTAACGTATTATTTCTTAAGGATTGACGTGCATTCCTGTCCAGTGTCTAAAAGAAGACATGTGTGAATCAAAATTTTTTGCATAGCATTCTCAATTTATAATTCCCTCGTAAAATTATGGTCTACTTCGTTATTAGCATTGCTCTAATAATATACCTAGTGCTAATATTGTAAATATATTATGATGTAACTATCTAATCAATAAGATCATATGTGGAAGTCACATAATTGTCTACACTAACTCATCTTATCGTACCAATCACCAATATATGGTGAGGAACACCTTTAGGCTGGGGGTAGAACAATATTTGTAATATAAACCAAAGGTATAGGCTTCACGAGGATGATCACGCCTGCAAGACCGAGCTGTGCCATTCGATGAATTCAATTAATTGAATTCATTCTTCCCGCCTTCTCCATCGTTGGGTTTTTCTCCGCGCTAAATGTTGAATACCTATTTTACCGGTTTTCTCGTGTTCAGCTTTGAGGATTGTGGGTTTAGAACCCAATGCCACTACAGTTTAACACTGTCAATATAATATTGTCAGAGGTTCTTTCATCCAATCCGTTCATGCCGCTGGATGTATAAATCTTGTTTTACAATGGAAATTTCCAGAAATTCAGTGATGAAATATAAAATGTCCTCAAATTCCTATGTCTATACATTGATAACTGTTTTACTTCAAGTTAAGACAAAGAAACGCACACTGAGTGGTTGGAGGTAGTCGGTAAGAAACTGTGAATGAACTATATTTCTTGCCAGTTCGCACATTTAATAAGATATAACTGAAAACTTGAGGCGAATGACGCTTGTTGAGAGACTTTAATCCGTGGCAATGAGCTTTACACTCCGGTATGATCCTCTCAACTACCTCTAACAACCTGAAATCTCCTTACTGTCCATTTTTAGTCTAACAACTTAGACTAGTGAATACATTAAAACTGATCGACAAAATTCAACCAAAACTAAAGGGTTTGAAACAATATGATAATAGTAACTATTCAGTGTTCAAACACATCTATAACCCATGGAAGTGTTGAGCCTTAAAATGTTCCTCTGACTGTCTCCCAAACAGAAAAGGGTATCAGCCACTTCATATAACCTAAATGAAACAGAATTTTTAATATACAAATCAGTTATTTTTCATAGTGCCAAGGATAGTGAAATCTCAGAAAGCAGAACTCGTTTCGAATATGGCAGAGAGCTGACAAAAGAGCTACCAAACCAGCTAATGCTTCAGGGCATCTCCAAGGTTGTGGAGATAGGCCTGACAACCTTATTTTGTAAATAGTTTTCAATGCTATTTGTATTTATTTTGTCAACCTTCCACTGTATGTATATTTAACATTAAATGACTGTAACTGTTGTTTTAGTAAATGACCTTGAACACACTTTCCGTTGTGATTCTAACATAGCGTGACATACTCTTGCTGGCGAACAAATACACTACTACTCTCACATTCCTGGTTCTATCTTCGTTTGTGATTGAGTTAACTGAAGTCTAAATCATATACCATCATTATTTATGGACTGTAATTGGAATATATCACATTCTACGTTGGATTATATCATTAGAGAGTTCCTCAACCCGATCAGAATCACCAAGCATTTATAATTGTGGATTTACAATACCGGACCCAATTAGAACACGCAACATTTGGTCAACTTAAGTAACGTCCCAAATTCTTATTGTATTTGTAACAATTAACTGTATATAATACTATTACTATTAATCTTTAGTAACTTTGTTTATACTTTTCGCGTTCATATCTGCCTGGTCCACCACAAGGTCACAATGCCAAAGGATTATGGACTGCTTAGCCAGAAAAACGTGAGACGAAACCAAACTAGACTTCTAAAAGTAGTTTTTAAATCTCCCAATGAAAATGACTACAAAATGGACGTAAACTAAAGGGGTCAGGTTTCTGCCCGTAAAGAAATACCCTTCACGGACCGTATAAAAAGACTGGAAACTGAAAACGAACCAAAACTGTGGTGTTTGAATTAACCGATGATTCTTTTGTACTGAGTGGATGCTTGATTTCGAATTCTAAACATAATACATTTGTTTGTGCCCATCTAGTACTTATTGATTCAATTACGTTATTTCGGAGATTCTTAGTTCATACTCTAATTCAAATAATTCGAAATACCAAACTGGCGTCGCGATGGAGCCTGTGATGGAATCGTTGGATATACATTCAGATTTTGGTGCTTTTGAGGATTATTTTGAAAGGTTAGAAATCTGGGCTATGACCAAGGACGATGGGGAGAATGTTAATATTTTGGCATATTTCCTCACATTCATCGGAAAAGAAGCATATAGCTTATTGAGAACTCTGTTTATGCCGGAAAAGCCTATCTCGCTTCCTTATGCAACTCTCAAGGAACTGCTGCTAGACTATGTTAAGCATACAAATTTCGAATGCAGTGAAGGAGGAAGATCTCGTAAAATGATTCATGAGGATATAAAAACTTCCACTGCATTACCACGTTATCCCAACCCACTGCATACTCAAGGTTATGCAGATAATTCATTGAGGAGTTGCAATGCAGTTCACGAAGATGAGCACAAGTTTGGTCAATGCTTGTCCTGTGGCAGGTTCCACTCTTTTAATTCATGCAAATTTCATAATTCTAAATGCTTTAAGTGTGGTGATATTGGACATATTCGGTCAGTCTGTAATACTAATATTCATCTTGTTGCAACGATTATTAAGTCTTGTAATTCTGATTCTACTGAGTCGAGTATTCATAATGACATTTATATGATATTTATATTTATCAACGATTTTAAAAGACAGTGTAGAGTCATATAGGAGCTCAGAGTTAAATGAAACTCAAAATCCTTGTGAGACAACGGTTTCTAATCAGTCGATTTGTCAGAATTCTCATGTTATTGTACTAAGTATGGTTTTTCCCAATGATTCACATATCTCTGATAAAATTCCTTGCAAATCTGTAGAAAATATGTTGAGTGAACATAATTATGGTCGAAAACCTGATATAGTTTTGGTGGATGATGACTTTTTTAATGATCCTACGCTCGGCAATGACATTCCTAATAAATTCGTGGAAAGTATGTAACAGCTTAGGTTGGTTGGTTAAGAGTTGACCCCAAACAACCAAGCATATGCCAAAACAGTATTGTTCAAGTATTCATCCACTTCCTTGTTTTGTATAAGCGTTATATTCCCTATTATCTTATATTGAATGTTGAGAGCCTTTGTTTGTCTGAACAGATAATCCCACGCTCCACTGTCACCGCGCCGAGATCGATATAAAGACCTATTCACTACTTCTCTGGTTTCTTCTATCAATAGCACGAGGGTTACTTTAAGACACGAAAAGTATTTCAGAAGAATCAAATCTTGTTGTCATATCAAATATTATTTGTCTTCATAATACATTTGTTTTTTTGGGAAACTTGTTCAATGCGAACCACAAGTATTAAATGAGGTCGAGTTTGATTACAATTCAGATGATTCCATATCAACTACTGCTCATCCTTATCACAAATCCACTTCCAATGTATACTCTAATCAATGTGAGAAATATGTTATAAATGGAGCCACATTATTCATAACTTGTGGATATAAAGATCCAACATTATTTCGTGGGGAGGATAGTATTGAAAAATCAATGGTTCGAATTCAAGATATTAATGATTTCATTACGAAATCGACATACTGGTTGTATACAATTTCATTATCCAGGTGAGTCTGTTCCGATTTCAGTTGTTAATTCTAATACTAATGAGTGTATTCTAGATAATACAGAGTTTCTATCCATTACAATGTCGGACAGACTCAGGATAAACTTAAGAAGAAGACGTACAACGTATTACAGACAATTATATTCCAATTTAAGCTGTGACGGATGTGGTGTTTGAATTAACCGATGATTCTTTTGTACTGGGTGAATGCTTGATTTCGAATTCTAAATACAATACATTCATTTGTGCTCATCTAGTACTTATTGATTCAATTGCGTTATTTCGGGGATCCTTAGTTCATACCA